CGCCTTGGCACGTGGCTTCCGCTACTGCGGCGGTGCGTGCGCACAGCATGGACAGGGGGCGGAGACAGGCCAGCCAGAGTGGACTCAGCCTGAACCGCGTGTTGTTTCAGCCAGAGTGGGCTCAGACCAGCTGGAGCCGCATGTTGCTTCAGAGTGGACTCGGCCTGAATGGGAACGAACGAGACTCCTTCCGTTTTCTGTTGGCCTCGGGGGACCTTGTCCGTCCCGTCGCGTGCCTATCCGCGTCGAGTCCGTGTCGCGCGTCGGAATTCCGCGTCGAATCTACGTCGACCTCTCGTTGAATCCACGCCAAGTCTCAGCGCTGACCCGCGTGCATAAGTGAATTAGATCAACAACATTGTCTTTCGCAAGGTCGCGCGGACCGCTGCCAACAGACCGTTCCCCATTGCACCGTAAATCATTCGCCTGGAAGGACGCGACTCAAATCCGCCGCGCGTTGGCTACGGCGCGCCGCTACGGGCTCGACCCCCGCTTCTGCGCGGCGGAGCTCGCGCGGCGCCTGGAGGCGGCGGGAATCCAGAGACCCCGCAGACGGCGCGGAATCGCACGGCGATCGCAGAGGAGGAAGCCCCGCCAGAATATCCGCCCAGGCCAGCGGCGGGCGGGTGGACACCGCGCGCGAACGCGCGGGGCAGAATTGCGCGCCCGAAACGCGCGGGGGAGCCGCTGCGCCAGCGAGGACATCCCCACACCGACAACGGCAAGACAAAACGACGTGCGCGACGCATGGGGATGGCGGGCGCCCGCGGGCCCTGGGCCGGCGGGGCTCGCGAGGCGAGGGCGCGGGGGCCCCCGACCCCCCGCCCCCTCGGGCCAGCGGCGGGCGCACGGCGATTGCGAGCCAAATCGCGCGGCGGAACTGCGAGGACGACGCGCGCGGGGCACGGCGCGGCGCCAAAGGGAAACTGGCCGAACCGCAAGCGGCAAAACGCGGCGACACCACGCGGCGCGCCTGGGGCTCGCGGAAGAGCCGCAGGCTCGCGCCCGGGTCTGGCGGCCTTCGCGAGGCGACGGCGGGGGTGGAGGAATCGGAGCCGAACCGCGGCGTGCGCAAAGCTTCGCGCCCCCGAGGGCGCCCTCGAGGAGAGCGCGCGGCGGCGGAGCAGAGACCGGGGGCACGAAGCAGATCTAGCAACCCCCCAGACTTCCCGATCCAGGCAACCACGTGCGACCCCCTACCCCTGCAGGACAGCTCGGAGCCGAACCGCGAAGCGCGATCGTCCAGTGGGTGGGGGGTCCAGGCCCCCCATCCCTCCAATACGATCGTCAGCGCTCGGAGGCCTCCTGGACAGGGTCGGAGTACAGCTGTGGTCGGAGGACCGCGCCGCATCGCCAGGTGCATCGGCGATACCGTCGGGGCGTTGACCTCAGGAACCCTAAGTAAAGAACGAGGCCCCGTCTTTCCCATAAGTTAAACTTCGATTCACCACGGGAAACCTCAGGAACACCTGAGGCAAACTGTAAAACAATCGAGGAACACCGAGCCCCTCCCCAACGAATAGGGTTCCTTCTTCAGCGCCCCGACTGCACATCGCCGATGCATCGGCGATGCATCGGCGACGACGGCGGTGCATCGGTGCCGTCGGCGCGGAGAACATTGGGCCCCACATCGAGCCGCATCGCCGCTGCATCGCCGCTGCATCGCCGCTGCATCGCCGATGCGGCGCGATCCTCCGACCCCGACAACTCCGGCCCCATCTGGGCGGCACAAAGTGTTACCCGGGGAGGGAGGGGGGGAGGGGCGACCGGGTAACGAGCGTTACCCGGGGGAGGCGAGCGTTACCCGGGGAATGAAGCACAAAAACGCCCATAGGGCGACACGGAAGAGGGAGGACCGCTGGCCCCCGCGGACGCGCCGAGCTCGATATCCCCGCCTTCGGCGCCGCCGACGGCAGGCCCTTCTCGGAGCCGCCCCCGCACATCCTGCGGCCACCGCTGCAGACGCCGCCGCACGGGGGCGAGCGAGGAGCGACACCGCCACCAGCGCGATGGGACCGGGCGGGTGGCGATGGGGGGTGGCATCAGTGGGGGGTGAAAGAAGGCACCCAAAAGGGACCCTTTTTCTCGTCAACCCCCATCCAGATCACCTCCCAATATACCACCCGCCCGAGAGGAGCCCCGGGGGGGACGCCCTCCCCGCTCGAGACATCCGTACGGCCGGACCTGGCACAGAAGAACATCCTTCAAGAACACGAGACCTCCGCTGGCCAAACCGAAGAACACTAGAGGGCACCATCCACCAGGATGCACAAGAACATACGACAACCAAGGCCGCGCCAACGGCGTGCATGACGGTGCGGTTGGGAATATGGTTATTGTTACACCGAGCTCACGCAAAATCAAATGTAGGAAATCACGAAACACCGTTTCCTACACTTCAAATATGCGAATGTATCGAACGAAAACGACACAGCGAGTTGTGGGAAAACACGAACCACGCCTTCCTACAACCAACTGGTTTGGCCACGAACCACGCCTTCTTACAATTAGATGTCCTATATGGCCGTTAGCTAACACACTGTTAGCGCGTCTACAGAAACACGCGACGAACGTTAGGGCACCCTCCCCGAACTGACCTCGATCTTATACCTCGGTCCGACCGCATCCTGGGCCCGGGGAGGCATCGTTGGCCTCCTCGCCCCGGGCCGGACGAAGGGGAGGGTTATCACTAGGTCGGGCATGGCATGTCCTCCTACAGGCGGATCTTGGAGGAAGAACAGATCCTCAAAACATGCTCACCAAGTATCAACATACTCAGACATGCTCAGAAATCGCCCCCAGACTATTTTGTTGACTATATTTGCTTACACGCCGGTCGGAAGAAGTGGGTAGAAACATGAAGTAGGAAGGCGTTGGAAGTAGATTGGACTTCCGCCCACCCCCTGAAGCGGAGGAAAGAAGGAAAACCGCTCGACTCATGAAGTAGGAAGGAGCATAAAGCAAATTAGGACTTGGGCATCCAAAAATACCTACTTTCAACGACCGGCGTGTAAGGCTAGCAGAGGGGAGGTTAGCGAGTCAGCTCACGCAGTTGGTTTCCCCGACGCCCCCCCGGCGCTGGAGGCGCCAGTGCATCGAGGGAGCCAAGGGCACCCAACGTTGCGCTTCGCGCTGCACGGAGCGCGAATAACCCCGCCGCCCCCCAGGGGAGAAGAGGAGGATGAGGAAGGCTCGCGCCCGGGTCTGGCGGCCTTCGCGAGGCGACGGCGGGGGTGGAGGAATCGGAGCCGAACCGCGGAACGCGAACAGCTTCGCGCCCCCAAGGGCGCCCTCGAGGAGAGCGCGCGGCGGCGGAGCAGAGACCGGGGGCACGAAGCAGATCTAGCAACCCCCAGACTTCCCGATCCAGGCAACCACGTGCGACCCCCTACCCCAGCAGGACAGCTTTCTGGAGCGTCGGCCAGGGTTCAGGATTCAGAAGATGTCTGCAACCGACTGAACCCCCAACAGGGATCCGACAGCCCATTGTCGAGTGGACGCGTGGGGGTCGGGTTCGCAAGTGGTCGCAGACTGGCCCCCCCCCCTTTGTCCGACACGATCGCTGGTGGCGGGGAACCCGACGTGTTAAAACAAAACAGACTCGGCCAGACATGTTCTAAGAACAGTTCTTGGAAACCACAAGAGGTTTGGTAGGGCTATAGGCGAACCAGGACTCTTCGCCACTGCTTGACGTGCTGCCTTTCCGGGGGGGGGGCGAAAAGGGCAGGATGACAAAGGGTCAGGTAGAGAATCAGCTAACGCAGCTGGTCTCCCTGGCGCCCCCTGGCGCTGGGAGGCGCCCATGTATCGAGGACAGGCGCCCAGGCGGCGGGGCGAAAAACAGCTGCATGTAGCAAACTTCGTTTCCCCCCCCTTTCTTCAGGTCGGGCGTGTCCCCCTACAGACAAATTTTGGAGGAAAAATCAAAACTATGCAACACATATTCAAACAATTATCAAAACTGGTAGAACAATCGTCCCCAAACTATTGTTTGATAATTTTTGAATTTTCCTCCTGTAGAGGGACACGCCCGACTTGAAGCAGATTTTGTTTCTCCCCCTTTTTTATGCTGCCCTTGCCGTCCAGCTCGATCCTCGTGCCCATTTCTCGTCGCTCCAGCGCCTCGCCTCCTCGATCCATCCTCGCGCGCCCAGCTTCGCTTGGTCCTCCTCCTTCCCCTCCTTCCTCTGAGAACCCACAAAGGACGTACGCGCCCAGCTATGTACATGAATACCCCCTCGATCTGCGAGACTGGCCGCGTGATACGAACATTCGGGCAATGCGTACTCTCGAAACCAGCGTGGATTCATGTACGTGTACGTCCTTCTTTCGCTCCTGGTTCCTGCGTCTCTCCACCGAGGGCCCCGGCTGGGCCTCCAGAAAGAAGCGGACGACACCGGAACCACCATGGGGTGCCAACCTTGAACCCATTTGGAAGCCTGTCCTGACATGCACCGGGAACCGCTTCCTTCGCGGCGCTTTCATCCGTGGCCTGAAGCCGACGTTTGAACTCGCCGCTTTGAACGGGCTCGCCGGGGGTTGGGAAAAGCGGGCGTTCGAGCTGGAGGAGACGACAAAGGACGCATTAGAGGCCCTCTACGGGGGGCCCTGCCGGGCCCGTGACCGCGCGAAAGGTGCGACGCGTTTCCAGGGGGATGCGATCGCGACGGTGGGCGGGGGGGAGACGTGAAGTTCTTTCTGATAGCCCTACTCACCCTCATCTTGTTTCTCGCGAGTCGTGCCCATCTGCGCTACAAGGTCGGGGCGCGTAGGCGCGAAGCTCCTCAACAGACCTGCAACACAACCTCTGGTCTCCCACTGGGTCCCCTCACACCTACCTCAGATGTATCAGCTTCAACCTCCCGCTTGTCATCACTTCCCCTGCTTCTGCCTCACGATCGGATCTCACTCGACGTCTGCCCTCCACAAGATCAGCGCGAAGAGGGTGGCGCCTAAGCAGCAGCTTCCGTTGGAGCTTCTGCCGCTGCGGCGTGGTGCCCTAGGGGGCGACGCGATCGTGACAAAGATGCGATGGAGATGATGTTGACAGTGGCGGCGGTAATGGCAGCTGGGAGCAGCTCCAGGGGCGGACATCGGCAGGCGCAGGCCACGACGCGCCAGGGCCCTCTTTGCGCCGCCTCCGCACGCACCCCGAGGACGCGCTGCTGAGCCTGCGAGAGCCGTGGGGCACCTTTGAAGGGGCCCCAGGACACACAAATAAATACACACACAAATAAAATGATTCCCCATATGTTCCCATATGTTCTGGGTTTTTGTCTTCCCCCCCACGTCCCATATTCTCCCATATTTTGGGGGAATCGAAGAGAAATTGTGTCTGTGTGTTTTTTCCCCTCCTGAACCTTGGCGCACGGAGGCTGCAGGGGAGGCGCCCAGGTGATGGAGGCATCCTCGATGGGGCCCGAGTGGAGGGGGTCGGGAGATCGCGCAGCATCGCCTGTGCATCAGCAACGCATCGGCGGCGTCGGCGATGCATCGGCGCCGTCGCGGGAGAACATCAGGCTCCACATCGAGCCGCATCGGCGATGCATCGGTCATGCCACGCGAATCTCCAGCCCCTTCTACTCGGACCCCATCTGGGAGGCCTAGAACGAATGATAGTAACACATGATGGGTGCTCTGGGGATTTCGAGCCACGTGTCATCGGAGGCCCCGAGCTGGCCTCGCTTCCAGTCAAAAAGGTCGCCTGCACAAGTCAGTCAAACAGCTCTCACATGCTTGGCAGCGCTGTGTGCCAGAACTGGCGACTGCGGCAGACCGACCATTCCAGCTGGGTGTAGCGAAGCTGCGTGCCCTCACTCCCCTCCAAGCCCTCGTCATCCTCGTCTCCATCCTCCGACTCATCATCGATCTGCTCATCCTGATGTCCCCCTCTTCCTTCCTCGTCCTCTCTCCTTCCTCCTCCCTATTCTTCCTTCTCTTCCCCTCTGCCTCCTGCTCCGCCCTTCTCATCGTTAATCCCTCCTTACTCTCTCCTCCTCCGGTCAGGCGCCCGTGCACGGCAGATCCTAACCGGCCAGGGAAAGACGCTGGAAGCGCACAAAGAGCCGCATGATCCTCGGCGCAGGACGTGTGCCAGGGCCAGAGACGCATGACGGGCCTGGAGCGGGCCCGATAGCCCTGCCCTCCATTTCTGGAGTGTGCGGCGCACCTGGAGCACTCGGACCACGTGGCGCATCTGGCGCACAGGCGTGCCCGGCACGCTCGGGCCCCAGGGGTGCCTGGCGCGCGTGGCGCCCCTGGCACGCGTGGCGCACCTCGCCCAAGCGTCGCGCACCTGGGGTCGGCTTTGGATCCCAGCTGTCCATCCAAAGACGACCGCTGAACAACCTCAGGCTCGGGAGTTACTTATGTGTAGGGTGGGCGGGTGGGAGTGAGCTAGACGACTTGCAGGCGGGTGGGTAGCTTGATCGCTCCCCCTCCCACTCCCCGGGACCTGGAAGGGAGGGGCGGTCGCGACCTAGTGGAGCGTGCAAGAAGGCCTCAGCGAAAAGGCAACAATCACTGATTGTACTTAGATGTTGGGCCCATGCTGGCCTCCTGGTGAGGGGCCCTGCTGTGGTACCCCCATTTTTGATCAAACTCGGCCAAAATGGTCCCAAGATGGCCTCCACGGCTCCCAAGACTTCAAGAGGACTCCAAGAGGTGTGCCCAGGCGACCCCCCCCAGGGGCTGTCCAAGAGGCTCCCACAAACCCCCCCAGCCCCAAGAGGCTCCCCCTGGGCCCAGGCCCGCCGAGAGATCCCCAAGACTTAGGTCGGGCATGTCCCCCTACAGGTGAACTTTGGACGAACAATAAACATACCCCACACATATATACAACACATCAAAAGAATACTCGAAAAATCGCCCCCAAACTATTTTTAACAATTTTCGAATATTCCTCCTGTAGAGGGGCAGGCCCGATTTAACCCAAGACGCCCCGAGAAAACCTCAGGAAACTCTCAAGAGACATCCGAAGATACCCCGAGGAGCATCCAAAAGGCCTCTGGCCTTTCTGCTCGTCGTCCTCCTCATCCTTTTCCTCATCCGCTTGTTCATCCTCGTCTCTCCTCCATCCTCCCCCACATTCCTCCTCCCCCGATTCCTCTTCAATCCTCCCCCTCTTTGGGTATGACGGCTTCCCGAACCGCTTCGTTCACGGCATTCCCCTCCACATCCCTGATAAGGGAATTCCCTGGTGGGGTTACGCGAAGCGTCTGGAATCAATTCTCCATGCTTCCAATCTCCCTCTCCTCTTATTTTCCTCCCTGCATCTCTGCCTTCCCCCCACCCTACTCCTCCATATGATCGTCAACTTCATCATTACCATCGGTGTCAACATCGACATCATCATCAATCCCTCGCACTCCCTCTTTACATATATACACGCATATCCTCCCATCACAACATCAGAGGTGTCCGTAGATTGGGCTAGGCCGATCACTTGATGCTTCCTTACAACGTGTTACTATGAACCTTAAGAGTCCGTTCGGTTGTATTTCCGCGACAGCGGCCGTCACCGGCCCCGCGCCCCCCCGAGTGACGTCACGTTCCGCGCCGGCGGCGTCCGTGCGGGAATTCCAAGGGATGACCGAGGCCAAGTAGGAGCAGCATGTAGGTGGCGATCTGCACCACAGCGCCTGTGTACACCGCAGTGCTCGCGTGCACCACCGCGCGCGTGTACACCACTGCCCCTCTGTACACCGCAACAGCCGTGTTCAACGCAGCGCCAGTGTACACCACAATGCTTGCGTGCACCTCAGCGCGTGTGTACACACAACGCATGCGTACAGCGCAGCAGCCGTCTGCAACACAACCCTGTGTGCACCACAATGCTTGCGTGCACCGCAGCGCTTTTGCACTCCACACCACCTGCGTACACCACAGCATGCGCGTGCAACGCAGCGCTGGTGTACACTACAGTGCCTGCGTGCACAGGACAGGTAAAAGGAGCACGTCGGTGAGGATCTGCTGCGGACAGCTAAGCACAACGCAAAAAGAGCGCCGTTAATAGAATGCCATGTTCTTCCTTCCTTCCTCCTCCTCCTCCTCAACCTCCTCCTCCTCCTCCTCATCCCTCACCCTTCCCCCCGTCGTGCGGGTCGGCGCTACAGCGCATGTGCGCCTTGTGCAATTCACGCTCCAAGCTGGTGTTGAAACAATCCCGGAAAAATGGTCAATTGAATCAGTCCACTTGCGAGTACCGTTTAACCGATCCCCATCCCCAGCGGCGTGGCCTGGGCCCCAATGGCCGATTTACCCCACTCGATAGGGATATATGTCGTTCCCTTCGGGTTACGAGGGGTGTATCCCCAACTGGAGTGGTAATTTGGTGGGGGTTAGGATGATGCTGGAGGACCCGGGAGGACTCGTAGACTCCTGAGGCGCTCCTTTCTCCCGAAGGATTCCTTTTCCAAATCCTACATGAAGCAATTTTTTGTGGATTACATTGATTGTTTTGTGGGCTCCACAGGCGCTCCATTTTGTCATGAGGATTCCTTCCAAAACTCTACATGCAGCAGTGGTGTCAGGTTGCACACGATTGCTGTGGTGCACCTAAGCGCAGTGGTGTACACAGGCGCTGTGGTTCGGGCAGGTACTGTGGAGTACACTGGTGCTGTGTTGCAAACGGCTGCCGTGGTGTACGCAGGCGCGGAGGTGTACGCAAGCGCCGTGGTGCACGCAGGCACTCGGGTGCACATGGGCGCTGTATTGCATGCGGCCGCTGTGTACATCGGCGCTGTGGTGCCCACAGGCGCTGTGGTGCAGATCGCCAACTACATGCTGCTCCTACCCAGCCCTAGGCTTTCCTCAGCATTCTCAAACGCCGCCAGCGCGCAACGTGACATCACCGGCCCCCTTCCCCCCCTCAGTGACATCCGTCATCGCCCAGGGTAAGTGAAAGTGTATTGCAGCATCTTCGATGCATCCTGATCAGAAGCCCACTCTGCTGTGAGGCAGGTGGACAAGCGCCGCAGTGCTGCTCTGTGAAACTCCACGTCTGACAGCACTGCAAAAGCAAAGCTTGCCATGCATCAGCATTCGCCGCTGCGCCCTGCCACATGCTCGCTGAAACGTCATACCCGATTGAGCTGAGGCAAGCACAAATCTCGTCACTCCACCGCTTCTGCGGTCTGCGAGGCATGCGCCCTTGGGCAGTGACATCCTGGGTGTACCCGAGTCCACATCCACAACCTGACCCTCCTTAGAATCCTTCTCTTGAGCAGGGACCGACCGTTCCGGCATTCCTATAGGCCTACCACGAAATTGTCTTCGAACCCAAACATGTTCTATGAACAAAAACAAATGTTCTAAGAACATATCAGCCCGATGTGTTAAAACATGGCAGCCCCAGCCAGACATGTTCTAAGAACATCTCGTGCAAAAGGTTCTTAGAACATTCTTTGATGGGCCTATAAGCGAGCCAGGACGCTTTTCCACCGCTAGAGGCCTCCCAGATGGGGTCGGAGGATCGCGCCGCATCGCCGATACATCGGCGATGCATCGGCGATGCATCGGCGATGCACCGGAGGTCGGCAGAGACCTCGGTGACGTCGGCGTGGAGAAGATCGCGCTCCGCATCGAGCCGCATCGTCGATGCATCGGCGATGCGGCGCTATTCTCCGACCCCATCTGCTCATCTGCTCTGACTCCATCCGGGAGGCCTAGCACTGCCTGATGCTCCTTCCTGCCCCTCTGGCAGGGGGGGGGCCGCGAGAGGGCGGGCCTGGTCCTGGCCGCGAGACTCCACGGAGGCCATGTACCTGACGAGGAGGTCCAGCCTGGCCTGGCGGGCGTGTGGACGCGGGAGGGCCACGAGCTGTGTCGCTCCCATTGAACGTAAGGGCCGCATCCCAGGGAGCACCCAGAACAGTGTCGAAGGAGTGCCGAAAGAGTGTCGAAACAGTGTCGGACGAGTGTCCCCCAGGGCCCGACACGTGAAAACCGTCGAGTTCCGATACTGCTTCGGTGCTCGAGATTCCTTCTGGCGATCAAGGCTAAAGTGGGCTGGAACATCCTAACACGAGGAAGGATCACGAACGGCGAACGTAGCCATCTCCACGCCCTCGCTGTCTGGATTCTGGGGCGCGATCCCTGGGACACGCGGTAGCACGGGCACGTTCCCCCCGGGGCGTCCGCGAAACCACGGCCTGCATCTGCGGGATCGCGGGCCAGGGGCCCAACCCGCGAGGCCTTTGATTATGTATGTTCGCCCCGAGGGCCGCCCCGGTGCCGAGCCTCGGAGCACTCGTGCACTGTTGGCTGCACGGCGCGCGTAAACTATGCCCTCGTGTAATATGTACGAGATATCTCTGAAAGGTGCGCACACGGTCTCACCTCATTTGCGTATGGGAACAAGAGCTGCATAAACTTTGATGTTTGGGGATCCTCTCGGGTTTCTTGGATCGGCGCTGGACATCCCTGGCAGCGCCTCCCGCGCCGTTCTTGGCGCGCATTGAGTGTGTGAGTGTGTGTGTGTGTACCGACCCCCAACCAGCGCTTGCACTGAAACCGTCCTGGAGTCCTGGCGGAAGGGGTAATACAAATACAAAACACCATACCGATTTCGGTGGCTGGCCTGGTTTCGGAAGTTGGGGGGTGAGATCGCAATCGGACGGAGAGCCCCCCACCGGGAAATCGGTTTCTGTTTCGTGTTCGTAACGTGCTTGCGAGGCGAAGCTGCGCTGGCGCGCGACAGGAATGATGCCGCCCGCCATGGCTAAGGGCCGTGGAGCCGTTTGACCGCCCCCCCCCCCCACACAAATGGCGCGCGGGTACCCCGAGTGCCCCTTCGGTGGCGCGGGGGTGCCTCGTCGGTGGCGCGGGGTGCCCCGTCGGTGGCGCGGGGTGTCCCGACAGTGACTCAGGGTGTCCCACCGCGGTGTCTCAATGGTAGCTCGTGAGATCAATTGTGCGATCGATCGTAAAATGGATAGTGACATCGGTCGCGGCGTCGTTCACGGAAAGCGCCCGCTCTTGGCGTCAAGGCCCGCAAAAATTCTGGAGAGGCCCTCGAGAGAGCCCCAAGAGGCCTCCGTAGCCGTTTTGGTTCAAGCCTCTGGTTCCAGGCGCGGGGATGCCGCGCCAGGACTGGACAAGCCACGCGACGCGCGTGGGCGGCTTGAGCGAACCACGCGCAGGTTCGAGCGCAGCGATGTCGAGGTCTCATCATTACCGCGGCCTCGCCCCAGTGGTGATGCTGCCTCCGGGGGGGGGGCCGCGCGAATGGGGCGGGCGGGGGAGCGCCCGGGAGGCGTGCGCTGCGGCGGTCAAGCCGGGCGGGGACTTGTGGCGCGGTGGCGGGGCACTTCGCGAGGCCCCCCACGCCAGGCCCCGAGGGGGCCTGGCGAGGAGCAGGCGCGCCCGGGAGAAGAGCGCGCGGCAACGGCGCGTGGGCTCGAGGGCGGTGGCGCCCGACGCCCTGGAAGAGAAGGAGGCTCCGCGGGCGCCGGCGCGTCGGGCGAGTGTTATGCGCACCCCGTGGCCGAGCGAGGCGAGGCGTGTCGGCCTGCCCGTGTCCATGGGCGACGTGGCCTTCGTTCCGATGCGGGACTTCGGTCGGGCATGTGTCTCTACAGGCGGATCTGGGACGAACCATAAAAAATACACAGAACATATCAAACTCGGCGATTTTTATTTGTTTTGTATGTTTGGGGACGCCGAGGTTTGTTCAAAGCGAGGTTTGTTCACCGCCGATTATCGGCGGTGGACAGACCTCCCTGCAGTAAACCTCCCCTTGGTGAACACGGCCTGGGACCGAAGCCGACGGACCTGGACCCGCAGAAATGACGGCCGCGACGCTCCCTCGCGAACCGAAAGCGGCCAATTCCTGCATCGACGCGTCAGGGGTAGGAGGTCTGTCCACCCCCGAAAGAAATGCCCCAAAAATACTTTCAAAAATCGTCCCAATACGAGTTATTTATAGTATATATGGATCTATACATATATATATATACATTAAAAAATAAACCAAACAAATGTTTGAATATGCCTCCTGTGCGTCCGAATACGTCCCAAAAATACGTCCGAATATTACAAAATCTATTTATCGTCCGAATACGTCCCAAAAATACTTTAAAAAATCGTCCCAATACGGGTTATCATTATGTTTTATTTTATCTATTTATTTTTTTAAACAAAAAAAGCTATTTTTGAATATGCCTCCTGTAGAGGGACAGGCCCGACTTCATGCCGGACGAGCCGCCCCGCGCGCCGTGGCCCGCCGAAGAGCGGCGGCGGAGGGGCCGCTGCCCGACCGGGGCCCGCGAGGGCTGCGGCGGGGAGGCGCGGCGGAGGCGGCCGGCCCAGCGCACGGCGGGCGTCGCCGCTGTCGAGCGCAGCGCTGACGACACTCAAGCTGGGCGTGTCCTCCCACAGTAGGGGGGAAACAAACCTACCTCGCTTTTGACCACCCTCGCTTCCAAGAGATACCAAACGATGCCAAACTGCGGCCTGCGCTGGTCAGGCCGCTTGACGAGGAGGCGCGTGGTATGCCTTGATTTTGCCTGGAAGCGAAAGCGGGGTAGGTAATTCACGCTCTGATACAAGGAGGTTTTCGACGAAAAACTGAACATACCCCAACAAGAACCCAAGCGCATTCAAACATACGAAAAAGGAAAATCGCCCCCAGGCTATTCTGTTCTACCATTTCTGAACATTCCTCCTGCAGAGGGACGTGCCCGACTTAAGACTACACCAGCGCCGCGGCGGACCCGAGCGCCCCCAAGCCCAGAACTCCAGACCCCACGGACAGGAAGCTGCCCAAGCGCGCCCGGGTGCGCGGCGTGCAGCAGTGGCTGATGGACCTCAAGGGCACGGAGGCAAGCCTGCCGACAGCGAGCGGGGCTGTCATCGCCATCGACGATGGGCCCGACCTGTAGGACAGAGGCCCACGCCCTTCCCCTCTCTCCTCTTCTGCCCACCCCCCTCCTCCCCCCCTCGTCCACTCCTTTCCCCCTCTCTTCTTTAGGGGGCAAACAAACCTACCTCGCTTTTGACCACCCTCGCTTCCAAGAGATACCAAGCGATGCCAAACTACGGCCTGTACTGGTCAGGCCGCTTGACGAGGAGGCGCGTGGTATGACTTGGTTTTGCCTGGAAGCGAAAGCGGGGTAGGTAATTCACGCTCTGATTCTCGCTCCCTCGCCTGGCAGCGCGGCCAGCTCGGAGCCGGCGTCTCGGCGCGCGCCGGGCAGCACTGCGGATGCGCCTCGGGCGGGCGCGCTCGGAGGTCGCGGCGCCAGGCTTTGCCAGTGCGTCGGGCGCCGCCGTCGGCTCGGGAGGCTTGCGATTCTGCCTGCCCGGGCGGAAATGCAGCGCGGCGCTGGGCACCGCCGCCAGTCGCGCGACGCGGCTGGCGTGGCTGGGCACTGGAGCGGGGGAGCCACGCGAGTGCTTCATCAGGCACGCGCCCTGCCGGGCCCGGTGGTCCAAGCAATGCCAGGCTCTGTCGGGACTAGGGCTCCAGCTTCCGCGCGACCAGGCTTGCACACAAAAACAGTGCGATTCATGATTGCGAACGTCGCCCTCGCCATTGCCATTTGCCTCCCAGATGGGCCCGGCAGAGCTCGTGAACGTAGTGGCCGTGGTGGTGGCACGTATCTGAGAGCTGGCGTTCTGATGGTGTCGCCATATTGCCCCGCTGGTGCTCCGATCGTACTGAGCGCCAGTCGACGTGAAATCGTTGGTGGGATTTGTCAAGAGATCGATCGTGGGATCGAAAATGAGATCGATCCTGAAACCGATAGTGAAATCGAACGTGAATTCAATCGTGAGAACGATCGTGAGATCGATAATCATACCGGTAGTGGGATCGACAGTGAGATCGACGGCGAGACGCCCAAGCGGTGCCCACGCGGCGCCCCAGGCGCCCTGCGTCGCAGGTTCCCGCGCCATCGCTGCCACTGCGATCGTCGGAGGCGAGGGGGCGAGATCGCACCTGGGCGGAAAACGAACCGCCGTGTCCTGGCCGGGGGTGCCCGGTCGGTGGAGCGGGGCAGCCCCGCCGGTGACTCGGGGTGCCCCGACGGTGGACCGGGGTGTCCCGCCGGGGTATCCCGATGGCAGCTCGTGAGGTCTCTTGGGAGATCGGTGGCGAGATCGGTGGCGAGTGATCGGTAGTGAGGTCGAGAGAACAGCAGATTGTTGTCGATAATGGTGTCGAGTGTGAGGTAATGGTGTGAATCGGTAATGGAGGCGTGAATCGATCATGGAGGCGTGAATCCAGTGTGAGGTCGATAGTGGTGTCGATCGCACTGGATTGTTGGCCGGGGGGGCCCCGCCGTGGCCGGGGGGCCCGGTGTCCCGACGGTGCCTCGCCGGATGTGCTGCCCGTCGAGAGATCGACGGTGGGTCGAGACTGAGATCGATAGGAAACCGATGGCGAGATCGATAGTGAGATCGATCGTGGGAGCGATAGTTCGTGAGATCAGTGGTGAGATCGTCCGTGGGATCGATGATGTGGTTGGCAGTGAAGTCGATATTGGATTCCACAATGTGACCGACAACGAGATGTCCTGGTTGTCCTTGCGCGGCGCCCCCGGCGCCCCCCTCCTCCTCCTCCTCCTCCTCCTTCTCCACCTCCCCCTCTTCCCTTCCTTTTTATTCTCGCCCCCCTCGTCCTCCAAGGTCCCTCCTCCCTCCTCCCCCCCCATCTTATCGACATCCGAAGGGAGACCCGGCAACAGAGTGCGCTTTCCGGGAGGGAAGACGGGGCAGGCCGAGCCTGGCGGGAGAAGGGGAGGGACATAGGAGGGAGAAGGGAGGGAAGGGAAGGAGAGGCGAGAGGGAGGAGGGAGGAGGGGCGAGGGAGAGCGGCGGAGGACACAGGCAGGAGGCAGGAGGGGCAGGAACAGGAGGAGGCGGAGGCGGAGGGCGAGCAGCAGGAGGAGCACCCTCCTCGAGGCGCGCAGAGGAGCGCGGCGCGGGCCGCCCCCCGCCTTGCTCATCGGGTCCGGGCTCTGCCCCGCGGCCTCACGGCGACCGCCCCCCAGCCCCTCCTCGCCCTCGCCGGCACCGGGTCCGCGGGCCCGGCCGGGCACCTCGCCGAGCACCCCACTCGGGAGCACAACCACGGCACGCACGAGCACAAGCCTTCGGAGCTCCCCGCGCGGAGTTTCTGGGATCGGCGCTGGAGACCCCCCCCACCTCCCTGGCGGGCGCGGCGCGCCAGGGGCGGCGCCGGAGGCGCCGCCAGGCGGGTCCAGCGTCGACGCAAGAGATCCGCAAGGAGCTCAAAAAGGTTCTGCTCATGGTGCTCATTACTGAAGGGGCCCAAGGACACACAAATAGATACACACAAATAACAGGCTTCTCCATGTTTTCCTATATTTTCGTGGTTTCTGTCTTCCCCCACTTCCCATATTCTCCAATATTTTCTGGGGAATCGATGATTGATTGTGTCTGTGTCTTTTTCCCTCCTGAGGCCACCACATTTGCAACATGGAGCTTTTGCCCGAGGTTTCCTCGACTAATTAGTATTGCCACAAGCGTAGGCCTCGCGAGGGGCGCACTTCTGGGGACACCCTGGGCCAGGGGCACTCCTAGCAACACCCGAGTCGCCTCGCCAGACCTCCGACGACTCGACTCTTCCCAGGCGCCAACCCCTGGCCTGGATTTCTCGAATCCTCCCCCAGGAGGGGCTCTTAACTTGATCCCAGGCCATTTCTGTTGACGGCCTCGCCTCGGTGCTTGGACCCGGCCACGAGATGGCGGAAACATGGAACAGTAAAGTCGGCGGCGCATGTGTTTCGATGCGACCCAGAGAGAGGGAGGGAGAAGGCGAAGGACGGTGAGGAAGGAGGAGAAGGGCGAGGTGGGATGACCTTCCTCCTCGTCCTAGTTCCCCTTCCTCCGGCGACGGCGCGGCGATCGATCGTGACGACGACGACAACGTCGAAGATCGACAACGATCGACGACGACGACGATTCGGCCATCGAAGTGAACGGACCGGCGACTGATTGCCGATCAATGATCGGCGCAGGCGGACGACGATCGGCGGCGGCTGGGGAAACTCTAGTGTTCGTTAACGAAAGAGCGAAACCTGGGAGGTCTTCGTAAGAACGATCGCGACCTATTGAGCCCGATTGCGGGGCGTTACAAGCAAATCAACCCGCTTGAATCCCGGGATTAAGCCAGATAGAGCGGAAGATCCCTGGGGTGAAACTGGATATGAGCGGGAGGGAACGGGTCTAGGTCGCCGGGCCAAGTACATTTTCTCGATGACGGACGTACTAGCGCCGATGCTGACCTCAACCTCCCAAGACTTGCATCCTAAGCGGGGTGATTCTGGGCCCGGCACGCGGCAGGGCCGTTTCTTCACCGTCTCCGAACAGCGTCTCTTGAAAACAGAAGCGGCAACAGAGAGACCACCGGAAACGGCAACAAAGACGGCTCCGGAATTGGAGCCCGAGCCGCAACCGGACAACCAAAAAACGGCGAGGGAGCCGGCAAGAGAAAACAGCGGCCGAACCAGCAACAAGAACGGGGAGGCGGAGGAGGAGGAGGAGGAGGAGGAGGAGGAGGAGGCAGAGGATGGGGGAGGAGGAGGAAGGGGGAGGAGGAGGAGGAGAATGAGGAGGAGGAGGAGGAGGCGGAGGAGGAGGAGGAGGCAACACGGAGCCGGGAGAAAAGACGGCCCTGTCGTTCGCAGGGCCCACGGAGCGGAGAGACGTGCGCCCCTCGCGCGCAGTCCTTCCGGGCCCGAAGGCGGCAGCCTCGGGGCTGCTTCGGGCCACTCCCTCCCGCAGTCCTCGCAACCCCTCCCAACCTTCTTTTTTCACGGGGGTAAATAAAGGGAAATTAGGATACACAAATAAATACACACAAATAAAAATATCCCCCATATTTTCCCATATTTTCTGGGTTTCTGTCTTCCCCCCCACTTCCCATATTTTCCCATATTTTCTGGGAATCGCCGATTAATTGTGTCTGTGTGTTTTTTCCCCTCCTGAGTAAAACAGGGCTAGGATCGGGATAAATCGCTCCAGAGCGTTCCGGCGCGCTCTCAGAGCGTTCCGGAACGCTCTGGAGCGGCCGCGGCGCCCAATACATCCTCCAGACCCGCCGATTCTCAAAGATTTCGAGTTGTCCCGATCCGATTTTGTCCCGATCTTCGCGTCGTTTTACCCGACCACGACCAAAACTCCGTGGAGTGCTGGCTGGGCCAGGGCACTGCCGGCCCACCTCGCGGATGCTCGATCCCGCGGGAGCCTCCATCCTCGACAGGAGAGGCTGCGAGGAGGGTCCCGGAGGCCGCGAGCGGCACTCTTCGGGGATGGACAGGCCTCCCTTTAATATCGGGGAGACGTAAGACCCGGGTACGGGGGACTCAGAAATCCCCGACGAGGTCGTCAAAAAAATGACGAGGCCGAGCCTGCATTTTGACGAGGCCTCCCGCTGCAGACATCCCACGAAACTCCTCCTCGTCAAAATCCGAGGCGCGGTCGTCAAAAAACGATGGCGAACCCGAGTCCCGGCAAACCCGGGTCTTACGCTCCCCCGAGTTTAGTGAAAACGACCTCGGGCCCAAGCCTGGCGGGCGCAAGCCTGGAGAATAAAGGCCGCGGCGCCCTCTCGAGAACCGAAAACGGACAACTCACGAATCGACGTGTCACTGTTAGGAGGTCTGTCCAGCCCCGAACTTTGAAGCCTAATTTACGTCGGGCACACGTCGGATTTACATCAAATGCACGTCGGATGTTCTAGAATTTACGCCGGGTGATAATGGAATGTACGTCGGAACTACGTCGGAATATCGCGGCGCGAACGTTGTCCCATATCTGACGGGGCGGCCATGCGGACTAGATCATACAACGGTTGCGCGCCGCGCGAGGTCTCCATCCTTTCGCCCACAAGGAGTGTGTCCAAGTAGACGCATCCCTGGGAGTCCACTCCGCTCCCAGCACTGTCCCCAGAGCGTCGAGATCCTGTACAACCACTCGGGGAGCCGCAACCGGCGCCCTTGCAGGTCAGCGCTGTGCAGGACGGGCGGCCCCTCCGCAAGCCTCCTCTCGGAGCCTGGGCCGAAGCACCAGCGCCCGGTCCAGCGCTTCCTGTCCTGAGCTCCGCCCCCGCAATCTACCCCCCCCGGTCGGCCGCCCTCCCCCCGTTGATGGGGATGTAGGCTGCTCTCTTCGGGCTTCGAGGGGCACATCCCCAACCGAGTTGGTGAGACGGTGGGGCTCGAGCAGTGGATGGGGATGGGGATGGGGATCGATTGAGCGATGCCGAGTTCTGTCGTGGCAACAGGAGAGGAGGAGAGGAGACAGATGTTTTCCCTTGGGCCAGGATGAGCTACGCAGCGTGCAACCTGGACTCGGGCAGCACTTGCTAGACTTAGGTCGGGCATGTCCCCCTACAGGCGGACGAAGCATCAAGCGTACTCCAAACATATTACAAACATGCCCAAACAGAGTCTACAACAGACGCCCCCTGACTATTTTGTTACTATGTTTGAATATTCCTCCTGGGGAGGGACAGGCACGACTTAACGCTGTAACGAGCAAGACGCCTGGGCTCGGACTCTGCTCGCGGAACCTAAAAGGCAAACACCTGTTGGCCTGCTGCACAGGTCGGACTGCTTTAGTAAGCTTTACAATCGCCTGCAGGTGAAGCTTCAGGTCGCGCGTATCAGATTCCAACAAATATTCGAACAAAGATCAAACATACTACATACAAACATCGTCCCCTGACTATGTTTGGACTATTCTTGAATACTCCTCCTGTAGGACAGGCCCGACTGAATGCTAGCCTGCTACACAGGTCGGACAGATCTACTAGGCTTTGTAATCGCCTGCAGGTGAGGCTTCCTGTGGCCGATGCAGCGGGTACTCTGCGTGCAGAATCTCACAGAATCCTAGAAAGGGAAACTGCCAGGAACACAATACGACAACGAAAAACAGACAAAGGGAAGACTCTTGGAAGACATGGGACAACACGGAAGAAACAACGGTTGCAAAGACAGCAGCGGAGCAGAGGAACAAACACCACACACCTGACCAAGACTCGCCTGGGACCCGACCTGCAGGATCACTCTTGGTCAGGAACTGTCTGGACGCCGCCGGGGGCTGGTTCTTGAATCCAAGTGTTCTAACGCGTGTCTACCCCCGAATGTTCGACGATCAGCACAGAACAAGCACGGCAGCATTGCCATTCGTAATGTCGTCTTGGGATTGCAATCGGCCGTCGTCCTCCCGTGAGGAATCCACTGGACGCGACGACCATTGGCGCGCTGATAAAACTCACGTGATAGCCAGACCTATACCAGTGCGCTGGTCCTTGGCGCTCTCGTTGCTTTCCTTCTTCATGGTGTCATGTCCGGATGTTGTGTTGACGACGTGTACTTGTCATTCACGGCCCCTATCCAAGGAACAAACCCGACGGAAGACTGTAGCAAAGGGGCCCAAAGCTCGAAAATACTCCATAATATCCAAACCATTTGAAACGTCGTCCCTGTGCAATTTCTGAAAATACTCCGCTTCTGCCACCACCGCTAACAAGTCCACTGTCTCTCCTGCGAGGGTAGATGGCACCCTCCGTTTTGGCATGCACACGACGTCCTCGCGTCATGGTAATCGAACACCGACTGGTCTAGTGCAAGCACCATCCAGGCTCTGACGGGGATCTTGTGGAATCCCCAGAGATGGGTAAGGCACTCGGTGGAGCTCACGCCGCCCGCGACAGAGGCGCCATGCGCTCGGGGTCAAGCTGCCGCACCGTCAGCCGCGCCGCACCGCGCGATGGGATGGGGGTCATCTCTACAGACGCATCGAACCAATCCGCCCCGGTGAATTATTCCTAATGCAAAAGCGGGGACCTCAGCGAGGTTACGTCTTCATTGTGTTATTAGGGCTTGGGCTCCTCATCCTCGATGAGTGGTGGCTGGCCGCAATATGCTTGCAAATACGTTAGCCACCCCGACGGTTTCGGGGCGGGCGTTTCGGCCCACCCAATTGCATTTGTAGATTGGAG